TACGCCGGACTACACGACAGGTTCGGGGTTCTCACGAGCGAGATCTCCTGCGCTAGTAATAGTCTACTATAAGGCTCTCCACGGTAACAAACCCCCCCCATTTCTGTAATACATGGCTGGTGGTAATGGTTATTATTTTATTTATTCAAGTTTATTTAATTTATCCTATTTAGTTTTTATTGTAGTTTATTTTTAAATTACCACACGGTTTGCCGTTGCTGTATATTAAATAGTGATGATAATTTTATCTACTAGTTCCTGTCTTATCTGACATATATTTCTTTTATTTTCTCTCCTGCACCTCCATATTGTCCCACTCGTAGAAGCCCTATTACCATCGGCCTAGTGTAACAAAATAATGGGAGAGGAGTTCGGTTTCTGCAGTGAGCCTTATAACAGGTTGTTACCTCTGCGTCATAGTCGACATAGGGTGCATAGGTTGCTCAAGTTGTGAGCACTTCCACTACGTCAACGTAGAAGCCACAGGCTGCACGGCTAACATGTTTTAGGGTGCTGCAGGTAGATTGACCCACCTCCCCAGTATTACGTGGCTGAAAGGGCGCAAACGTGGGAGCAATCCTGACATCCTGGAATTAGGGGCACAGAGGAGAGTGAACAGAGCTCGAGGAAGGCCACCAGTACTGTGGGTGTGGATTTGTGCGTGGGGGAGAGACTTGCACAGCAACGACTCTATAAGCTCTTCCAACCTCCACCGTTTATCAGCGAAGGGCCTGTCAAATAAGTGACCACAAGTGTGTGTAAAATAGACGTTCACGTACTGCAGTATAATCTTCCACGCCTGCTACCTTCTTCTAGGCCCTAAGACCGTCAATCAACAAATTTCTAGTGTACAGAACAAGCACCTCTTGTCATCCGATCAGCCAGATAAAGTACAACTTATCACAGTGAGTGGGAGGTTGAGGCATTAGTAAGAGAAGGGCACTTGCTCAAAAACAAGCTGACCCCATTTAAAGTCTTAGGTCTTCCTAATCAGTTTATTGGAGTACCCTCGGCTCGTGAGGGCCAGCAAGGAACATCCCAGAGTTCATTCTATCTGTCATGCATGAAAAAACCCAGAAAAAGTGGCAGTCAGAGTAGCCAAAGCCCTTCCTTAAACACTCTTCTCGGGAGGCAATTCAGGCAGGCTGGGTTTAAGAAGTTGACGGTTGAGCAGCCAGAGGTTGGGAAGTAGTATTATGCACTGATAGGGCCGAAAAAAAACTATGCGATTTGACCGAGGATGTATGCAGGGGGACCAGTCAGTTGGGACCACTAAGACCAGGTCTCAATTAAGGTTTATAGGCGCAGACCTAAGGTTGATATGTATCTTTGGACTGACTTCTATCATTCACAGCGGGATAACCGTGTCATATTCAGAAAGCTACCAAAATGCAGCCCGTACTATATACAGAAGTTATAAAATACACCATACAGACAGCACAGGTACTACCCAAAAGCTCAGAAGCCTGTTTCACCGATATTCTGCCGTCGGGAAAGCTGGTGAAACCCTCTGATGAGTCGAATCCCTCGCAGCTGCGTCAGACAGAGCCATAATACCAGCAAAACACGTGTCTTGGCTTTAAGCCAGTACCTCTGCCACCATCGCACAACTCTAACATACTTCATCCCTCATAAAGTCATATAACAACAAAATTGGCGTCGCACATGGGAGGAAAGGGCCACAGTTACCGATTGGTGGACTAGATGACACGGCCGACTACGCCAGGAACTAATGGTTGACATAGTTTAAGCGGATTTAGTGGTGCGATCGTTAAAAAAACGACAGAGAGAGATGCACTTACGCTCAAGGCCTGATCTCGTTCCTTAATGACCTTCTGTAGTTCAACAGACTCGGAAGAGGAGCGAGACTGCAGTTGTTCCTGAAGTTGGGAGATTTTGTCCTGAGCGTCGGTGTAACTTTCAAAGGACTTTTGCTGGAGCTAAAGAAGGAAGCAAATGGAAAGGTAAGTGGGAAGTAGGTTTCAGCTTACATGAACACGTGCAATTTAAAGGGTTGTAAGAGGTTTTCAAAAAAACCTGATTTGAGTGTAATATACTGAAAAGGACTACATTGAATGGATTATTCGAAAGCTTCGTTCTGCGCATTGACAATAAGACCTTTGTAAGTAACTAACAGGATTACCGACCTAACCTGTAACGTTCAGTGTCAAGGCAAAGTTCACTTAAAATGTGGTCACATGAGTTCTGGTTCCCACACTTCACACTCGTGATAAATATTTCCGCGACGTAATCTAGTTTCGTCAACGTGACTGAGCGTTCAAGGGAACCACAGC